TTTTTTTATCTTGAGACAGTGTCTTACTAAATTGCTGAGGCTGGTCTTGCAATCATCCTCCCTCAGCCTCACAAGTCATTTGGATTACAGGTCTACGCCACTGCACCTGACTATCATATAGTATTTTCTTTTTGCAGTTCTGGGGATGGAACCCAGTACCTCACACTTGCTCTGCAAGCTCTATACCACTGAGCCACACCCTCAGCCCTATCCCGATTTATCACAATTTATCTAATTGCTCTTCTTTGAGGGACTTTCTGGTTGTTTCCACCTTTTTGCTTTTGCAATCAGTGTTGCAGGGGAATAACACACATATGGTGTTCTATGTATGTGACTCTATGTGTAAGAAAAATTCCTGGAACGGGAATTATTGGGACCAGAACTGTATGCATTTGTACTTTGGAGAGGTGTTGCCAAATGGCCTTCCCAATGAGTTGAAGAATTTACATTTCCACAAACAATATACAAGAGTGCCTATCTCCACTCCCTCTATCCTCACCAAGCCAGTGTGCCACCAACCTTTTGGATTCTTGACAATCTAATATGTGAAAAATAATGAACCTTAACTTGCATTTTTCTTATTGTGAGCGAGACTGTACATTCTTTCATATGTTTAAGAGCCAATTGAATTTCCCTTCCTATAAGCTCTCTGATCTTGTTCATTCCAATTTTTCCACTAAGCTGTTGGTCTTTATCAAACTATTTTAGAGAAGTCCTTTATCTATTATGGAAAGTAGCCCTTTATTAGTGCTCCAAATTTTTTTCCAGTTCCTTTTTTAAAAAGCCATGCAGAAGAAAAAATATTTTTATGGAATTGAAGTTTTTTTTTTTTCTTTCTTTCTTGTGGTGCTAGGGATTGAATCCAGGGTCTTGCACATGCTAGAGGAGCACTTTACCATGAAGCTACATCCCCAACCCTAAAAAATATTAATCCCTGTTTCATGGTTTCTGTATCTGAGACCATAGTTACAGATGCTGTCCCCACCAAAGTTAGATTTTTAAAAATTTTTTTGGCTCATGCTGTGCTCTAGGATTTTTATGGTTTATTTTTTATGTTTAAATTTTTGACCCATGAGGAATTAGCCTGGCATGTAGAATGAGATATGGATCAACTTTGTTTAATTTTTTTCCAGAAGGCAAACAAGTTGTTTCTGCACTATTAAATAACTCGACTAGCTTTCCCTGCCAACTGAGATGCTACAATTTATCAAATACTAAATTTTCATATATGCTTGGATCTGTATTTGGTTTTTAAATTTTTAAATTTTATTCATTAACTTTGCTACTGGGGATAGAACACAGGTGTGCCACATCCCCAGCCCTTTTTATTTTTATTTTTTATGTTGAGACAGGGTCTAGTTAAGCTGCTTAGGGCCTCACTAAGTTGCTGAGGCTGGCTTTAAACTTTTAATCAGTTTCCCAAGTCACTGGGATTACAGTGTGCACCATCATGCCCAGTTGTATATTTTATCTCTTGCTTCAAAGGTTCATCTGTATCTTCATGTACCAGTAACATGCTGTGATCATTGGAAATCTAAAATGTGTTTTTTGGGCTGGGGATGTGGCTCAGGCAGTAGCACGCTCACCTGGCATGCGTGCGGCCCGGGTTCGATCCTCAGCACCACATACCAACAAAGATGTTGTGTCCTCCGAGAACTAAAAAATAAATATTAAAAATTATCTCTCCTCTCTCACTCTCTCTTTAAAAAAAAATAAAATAAAATAAAATGTGTTTTAATTTTGGGTAGGGACCTTCACTAATCACTGCTATTTAAAAGTTGTCCTGGTACAGGGCACAGAGGTGCACTCCTGTAATCCTAGGGACTCAGAGGCAGAGATGGGAAGATCACAAGTTTAAGGTCAACCTAGGCAATGTGTTGAGGCCCTAAGCAACTTAGTGAAACCCTGTCTTCAAAAAAATAAAAAGACTGGGATGTGACTCAGTAGTAAAGCATACCTGGGTTCAATCCCCATGATCCTCACACACATACACACAAAAAAAAAGAAAGAAAGAAAGAAAGAAAAAAAGAAAGAAAGAAAAAAAAGTTTTCCTGGCCTTTCTAGTTTGCTTATTTTTTTTTTTTTCAGTTTGCTTGTATCTTTATCTCAGTTTTAAAACCACTTTGTCTACACAAACGTACACACACAACCTGGTTGGTCTTTTTTATTGGGGTCACATTAAATTTATAAATTCACTGGGGGAGAAATTATATCTGCATGTTGCTGGCTCTTCCTGTCCATGAACATGGTATACATTTCCCTTTGTTCACACTTTCTTCTAGAGTCCTTTCTTGAGTTCCCCTGGCAGAGTTGATACCTCCCTGCTCTGTGCCACCAATATGTCTGGTACACATCTACTAGTCACATACATACCATGCACATCAAGGTTGTGCTGCTATTGCAGGGGACCTCAGTCTCCCACAGAGACTCCGGAGAGCCATTCTTTGACTTTAATGGTGCTGGGCATAGAACCCAGGCCCTTGCACAGCCTGGAGGAGTGCTTCTAACTTTTTTTTCCCCTCAGGTCCTGGCACATAACCCATACTCAGCAAATGTTTGATGAATGAATAAGGAGAGAAACCTCAAGCCTTGTTCGTCATTACCCCTAGCCTGGTTTCTAGAGGCCCTGAACTCTTAGACAACCTCTGGTCCCTTCCACTTACCCAAGTTTCTTTTCCACCCTACAGCTCTGGAATGCCCGGCCCATTCCAGCTACAGTAGCTGCCTTCCCTCCTGCCCATCTTCCTGCTTGAACCCGGATGGCCACTGCACAAATAGCAGAGGCCCTTCCAGCTGTGCTGAAGGTTGCCTCTGTCAGTCCGGCTATGTGATGAATGGGGACAAGTGTATGCCCAAGAGTAGTTGTAGCTGCAAGGACGCCCAGGGTGGCACCATCCCTGTGAGTGGGCAGAGGAAATGGGAGTGTGTGGGGGGTCACAAACCTTGAGGATTGTACTTTTTCTTTCCTCAGCCTCTCAGCCTGGGGCACCCTTGTCTCTATAGCTGGCCCTGGGGTGTGAAGGCAGGTGGAACATGGTTTGGGTTTGGGAGGTGAGGAATCCATACAACTGGGCACAGAAGTTTATAGCAGAAAGAGCATGGCCTTTGTGTGGGATGATCTGTGTTTGAATCCTGTTTAGACCCCTGATGAGTCAGATGACCTCTGATGCCTTAGTTTTCTCTTTTGTAAAATGGGTCCTGAAGAGCATATGAAGACACCAAGAACAATGCCTTTGGGGAGGATATAGGGACATAAAGATCCAAATGGCACTGTAACTGCTTCTCCCCAGGATTAATGCATTAGTTCCTGTATATCCATGAGAACAATTGGTCCAGGACTCCCAACAATACCAAAATCTGTGGACATTCAAGTCTCTTTCATAAAATAGCATAGTATTTGCATAGAACATTTGCACATCTTTCTTGTAGAGTTTACATCATCTCTAGACAACATGTAATAGCTAGTATATATAATGTTAATGTCATGTAAATATTGTCATGCTGTATTCTTTAGGGAATAATGACAAATTTGGCACAAATGCAATTTTTTTTTCAAATATTTCTATCCAAGTCTGGTTGGATCCAACCCATAGATACAGAGGCTGACTGTGAGCTCTTGAGACAGTGGGCTTAGACTGAAGGAGTGAGAGGAGAATTCACCCTTCCCTCCTCCCTTTCTTTCTTTTCTGGTGGTTTCTACAGATAGGCAAGACCTGGATCTCCACAGGCTGTACGCAGACTTGTTCCTGCGTAGGAGGAAGCATTCGGTGCAGGACCTTCCGCTGTCCCGCTCAGTCTCACTGCCAGCACAAGGAAGGAATCAACAATTGCGTCCCTGACAGTAAGTAGGGAGCTGCTGGGGAAGGGGGAAAGGGGTGCACCTGGGACCCAGGAGGAGTGAGGGGCCAAACAGGAACTTAGCCTGGAGAAGGTGCCAAGCACGGTAGTCACGGGGTGGGCAATGGGATCAGGAGGCCTGGCTTCTGCCAACTCTGGTCACAGGCAAGTTATAGATCCTCTCAGGACCCCTTACCTTAAGGTCAAAAAGAGAGAGGAGGGTGAGAAGATCCAGAAGAAGGTTGCAATGGGGCTAGAGAGGGAAGAAGTTGAAGGTCAAGTATCCAGGGAGCCCAGGGCCCAAGAGAGAGGTGACAGGAAGTGCCATGGTAGGAGGGATTCCCAGGACTCATATCTGGGCAGGGTCCCTTCTCAGTGTTTGCCTTTCTTGGCAGAATCGGATCAATGCTCCGTCTACGGGGATCCCCATTACCGCACATTTGATAGGTTCAGCTACCTCTTCCAGGGTCGCATGACCTACATCCTGGTAAAGACAGTGGACAAGCTCCCTGAAGGGCTGGAGAAGCTGGTTGTGGAGGGACGTAACAAGGTGTATTCCTCGGCCCCGGGCCTGATCTTCTTGCATGAAGTGATCACCTTCGTCTATGGCTATAAAGTCCAGTTCCAGGCTGGACTGACGCTTCTGGTTAGTAGGAGTCAGGCTGAGACCACCTAAAGCTGGTGAAGCAGGCGCCTTGCTTCTGGGAGGTTCCTGGATGATTGAACCACTGAATGACATACAGAGAGAGGGAGAATATGGGCAAAGCCAGGCACAGGCCAGAGCAGCAGAGGGCCAACTTGCTCCAACATGCCCCGCAGTGCCTGTCCACCTTTCCTCCCCCCCAGGTCAACAACCAGAAGATGGCCTACCCCTACAGTCCCAATGAGCGCCTGCAGGTCACCATGCAGGGCCAGCGGCTCTTTCTGATCACCGACTTTGAGCTGGTCGTCAGCTTGGGTGGTGGTGCAAGGATCAACGCAGGTACCAGAGAAAGGGGGACAGAGAGCGGAGGGCACAGTTCTGGGGTGGGGGTGAGAATGCCCTGCATAGACAGGCTCATCGTGAGGAGAGAAGCCTTGCCTGGGAATGGGGCCCCCAGCTCAAGTTGGGGACCCAGGAGGAGGTGGGGGGCCAGCATGGGGGGCTCACTGCAGGGCACCCTCTTGCTCCCACAGTGATCACCCTGCCCAGCATGTACCAGGGGCTGGTGCGTGGCATGTGTGGGAACTATGACGGGAACCGCACCAATGAGTTCGTACTGCCGGATGGCAGGCTCACCCAGAACCTCTATGTCTTTGGCAACAGCTGGGAGGCGAATGGGGATGAGCCCCTCTCACGTTCCCCAAGGTGAGTGCTGGGGCTCAGGAGGACCAGGGTCTGACCACGGCTGCTACCCTCCCATTCTGGTTTTCGGTTCTAGTGGACAGAGGCCTCACTACTTCACCTTCTACCACTTCTCGTACTGACATTGGGGGGCGGGCACCTGCTCAATGGAAATCCCAGTGGGTCCTGCCCTTCCCTTAGCCTCTGTCCCCAGTTGTTCCTCCCCAAGTTCACCTTCCTCCAGGGCCTCACCTGGTCCTTGGCTTCTCCCTTCCAGGGCCATACCCAAGGAGGAAGAGAGACAACAAGCAGATTCCAGCTCCCTAGGGTTGGCATGCAGCTTGGAGCAGCTGGCACTCATCAATAGCACCCAGGCCTGTAGTGTGCTGGTGGACCCCGAGGGTCCCTTTGCTGCCTGTCACCAGACTGTGGCCCCAGAGCCTTTCCAGGAGTGAGTCAGGGCCCAGGACTTGCAAGCATGGCCTCAGTTCCTGCTCCAGTTTTTCACTGGGTCCTGCTGTCTGACCCCCAGCCTCGCTTCCCTTCCTTCTCCCTGTGGCCTCACTTCTTGGTGACCCTCCCTTGACACTGCCCAATGTCTTCTGTGAGGGGCTTCAAGCCCTCTTCTGCAGGGGTCCTTGCCTCCCTGTCTGTGACAGCCCCCTCTCCCCTCCTTCTCAACTCCAGGCACTGTGTGGTTGATCTGTGTACAGCCCAGGACCCCAATGACCAAGAGGAGCTGCGCTGCCAGGTTTTCAGCGGGTACGCCATCACCTGTCAAGAGGCGGGCGCCAGCCTAACCAGCTGGCGGGACCACACCCGCTGTGGTGAGGCACTGCCCCTGCCTGGCAGCTGACCTTGACTCCTCTGCCAGCCATTCCCTGCCCGACCCTTTGCCTACCACGGTCCTCACCTCGGGCTTCCTGTCTTGGTTCCTCTGCCCCTCAGTTCTCAGCAAGCTGAAAGCAGCTGTCTTTTCCACCTGACCCTTTCCCACCCCCCAGGGAGCCTCCTCCTCCCATCACTGCATCCCCTTCCTCCTCTCCTGACCCGCCTCTGTCTCTTGAGCTCCTTTACTGTGCTCATGTTCCAGGTGAACCCCTCAGATGGGGTACCTGTTCCTCTGGCTTTCCTGCCTCCAGGCAGCCATCTTGCACCCCCTCTTCCACCTTCAGCCCCACTGTCCCATAGCCCCATGCCTTTTTGGCTGGCCCCAACTCTTGGCCATGTCTCTGTCCCCTCAGCCATGACATGTCCAGCGAATACCGTGTATCAGAGCTGCATGATGCCCTGCCCGGTGTCCTGTGCCAACCTGGTGACCCTTGAGGACTGTGAGGGCCCCTGTGTGGAAGGCTGCGCCAACCTCCCAGGCTACGCCTACAGTGGTGCCCAGAGCCTCCCGCTAGCTGACTGCGGCTGCACCAGAGACGGTGCCTATTACCAGGTTGGGGCTGGCAGCGGGTGGCCCACAGAAGCCAAGGTGCACAGAGCCAGACCCAGCATGAAACCAGAACCCCAACTCTGCCCTTCTCTTTTCCAGCTGGGTGACAGCTTTGTGACTGAGGATTGCTCTGAGCGCTGTACCTGTGCCAGCTCAGGGGTCCTGATGTGTGAGCCCTTCGGCTGCAGCTCCGAGGAGATCTGCACCCTAGGCAACTTCACCCGCGGCTGCTTCCGAGGTGAGCCTGGATCTCTCTGCTCCAAGTTGCTCCCCGCCCCATCCTCTGCTCAGAGTTCCCACGTGGCTGTCAGGAAGTCCTGCCTCTCTTTTTAAGAAAGAAAAAAGGAAAAGGACCTCTCCCTCCCTGAGCATCTGTTACCTACAAAGCCCTGTCCCTTTAGTCCTTTTCTACAGCACCTGATGGCAAGCACAGCGTACCCATCTTGTGGGTATGAAGAAAGGTTAAGCATTTTCCCAGAGCCCAGGCTGGGGCTAGCGCCGGGCTCTGGAGGCGCTGCTGCCTTCCTGGGTCCAGCCTCCAGCCTTGCCTCCCCTGCACTGAGAATCACCTGGCCCTCACAGCCCTCCAATCTTGCAGAAACCCCGTGTCTTCCGAACCCCTGTCAGAACGATGGTCAGTGTCTGGAGCAGGGGGCCAGCTTCATCTGTGAATGTGAGGTCGGCTATGGGGGAGCCCTGTGCACGGAGCCACAGGACATCCCTCCCCGTAAAAAGCCAGGTGAGGACAGAGCCCAGGCCCCAGGCCCCACTGACAGCCCCCATAGAATTGTTTTAAATGTATAATATTAACACATATCTATTATAGATATAGATTACAGATATTATAATATCTATCAATAGATATAATAGGTAATAAATTATTACAGCATTTATATATAATATATATATATCAAGTATAATAGGGATTATAGCATAATGATCCCTAGAGATTAGCAAGATAGGGGGTCCTGAACTAGGCCCTGTGCCCACCTCCTATTCCCATGCTCTGTAATCTTCTCTTCAAGCCCTAACTTTCCATTTCCTCCCTCCCCTATGGGATTTGCCTCGCCCCATTATTTCCCCCATCTGGGTCCCTTTAGGCCTTTCTGGATTTTCTACCATTTTTTCCTACCCAAAGCTGAAATTCCACTGTGCCACTGGGGCAATGGTTCTCCCCAAGTTTGTTCTATGCAAGACTGGGTAGCGGGTAACTTGTTTGACATGTTCCAAGACTTACACCCAGAGATTTAGGTTCAGTAGGTCGAAGTGGGCCCAGAAATCTGCTTTTGTAACAAGCAGCCAGGTCCTGGCTGGTAGAAGTGTTTCTGGGGATGTTTTGAGAAACCCTGGCAGGGATGATACCTGAGACTCTGGGGACCTACTGTCAAGGCTTCTGGGAGTTGTCTGGAACCAGAAAGGGCTGCTGCGGGGAAGGGGGGGGTGCAGGAGGGAGAACCAGCCACTTAGGGAGACATTTAGGGAGATGAGGTCTCTCAGACCAACAGGACTGCCTTCTTCCCACCCACATTCCTGTTTCTCTTCCTGTATCCAGAAGCATCCAACTTTGTGGCCATCCTGCTGGGTATGCTGGTGCCTGCGGTGGTCATAGTGTCAGCAGCGATCAGAGAGTGTGTTTACAGGATGAGGAGGAGGAGGAGGAAGAGGAGGTGAGTCCTGGGCAGGGGTGAGGAGAGCCAGGTGGGATAGGTCAGCAGGGGTGTGGGGAAGGACAGGCCTCACTGTAGGTCACACCTGCTCTCCACTGCCTCCTAGGGAGAAAATGAAGGACCAGAACAGAGGCCAGTTGGGGGACACAGGTGAGAGCCCACTCTGGGGCCAGCACCTGCACATCCAGAGCTGAGTCCACTTTGGAGGCCGGTTTTCTCCATTTTCCTCAGTGTTCCTCAGGCTGCCTTCAGAGCCACTTGGTTCTGAGTTATTGTCAGACGTGGACATTAAAAAAATTTATTTTTGAGTTCTGAATTTCTGTGATTATGGCAGAAGCAGTGGTCTGTGAGGTGGGTCTTTGGAGTTGAAACTGGAGGGAGAGTGGTGGGGGCCAAGGCCTGGGTGCTATTGGGCTGGGATGTGGCCCATTAGGAGAGCTTAGCAGGCATGAGGCACTGGGTTCAATCCCCAGCAGGAAGAGTGGCAGGGTGGCTAGATCTGAGGAGGAAAGCAGCTTGTCCCTTAGAAGAAGCCATGGGAATAGCCATTCAGCTCTGGGAGACACCATCAACAGGAAAGGCAGAAGGCAGGGAAGTAGGTAGAATGAAGCCTGTGGCCTGGGGTACAGGAGAAAAGGCGCCACAAGTCCATCTTTACTCAGGAACCCTGCTTCTTGGAGGTCAGGCCTCTGAATTCCCCACTAAGGGGAATAAAAAGTCATTTGAGAAGCCCTCTCTGTATTTAGGGAAAGGGGGGGTACTGGGGATTTAACTCCGAGGTGCTTTACCACTAAGCCAAACCCCCAGCGCTTTTTTATTTTTACAGGGTCTTGCTAAATTGCTTAGGGCCTTGCTCAATTGCTGAGGCTGGCCTGGAACTTGTAGTCCTCCTGCCTCAGCCTCCAGGCACCACCCCTGATGAAACTCACCCCTGAGTGAAGGCTAAGGATGGGGTTGTGGCTCTTTCGTGAAGTGAATGGCCCTCAGGGAAGGAGCCCACCCTCCCCATTTCTCCATCCCCTCAAAGGGCCTGGGAGTTACTTTGGGAACTGAGGGTGGGGTTGGGGCCAGTTTTGGAGGAGTGGGGCAACCCCCAGCCCAGGGTGAGATTGAGGGGCTTACTTTCTGCCCCTCCCTTGCGGGTGAGGGGCTCCATCCGTCCTCCCATCAGGTAGCCTGATAGACAGGCTGGCCTATCCTGCTTGGGCTCTAAGGGAGACAGGGAGGCTGGGGGAGGGTGTAGGTCTCTGACAGTCTGGAACCTGGGTCTGGGTCTGTTGGAGCAGGATAGACCAAGATACTCCAAAGATGTGACTCTGTGCTTACCCTAGTAGACCAGCCCTTCAGCAACCTAATGGGGAAAGGGCCTAGGAAAGAAGGGGTGCCCTGGGCTGGCCACCCTGCCTGGCATGGCTCTCACTCCCTTGGTGGAGGAGCTCCACACATGGGGCAGCAGGGCAGCCTCTGGAACTGAGTAGGGCATCATGGGCTCCTGCTGCTGCCTGCCCCCAGCTCCGCTCCTGCACCTGGACTTCATCTTTGCCTGGGCTCCATTTCTGCCCTACAGCCTTAACCTTTATTCCTTCCCCCAGCAACCCTGGAAGGTTACCTTATCTAGCCGGGAAGTCTGTTTGGCAGGGGCAGAGGGTTGGGGGTGCTGGCCTCTGGGTGGACCTACTCCCTCAAGCAGGACAGAATCCCTTCCACCCCGTCTTGGGGAATCAAAATACATCGCCAAGGGAGAGAAGGGGCAGAGGACCCAAGAGCGTTAGGGACTCTGTAAGAGGGCTGAGGAGGTGGAACCAGCTCACTGTCCCGGACTCAACCTGCACTGACCCCAACATGACAACAGGGGGCGATGGGAAGCAGAAGTGGAAAAAAGCTGCTTCAGGTAGTGGGGCTCGCTAGAGCCTGCCTGCTGGTGTCCTGCTGGGAGGGAGAGGAGGCAGAGCAGAGCAAGAGTGGGGGTAGACCCCAGCCTCATCTTCCAGTGTGGGGAGGACGAGTGGGGGATGGCGGTGGGCAGACACTCAGTTGGTCCCTCGCTCCCCAGGCTGGGAGAACCTGCCTGGGCGGCATACTGAATGAGGGAATTGTCCTCCAACTGCCCGCCATCCGCCATCCAGCACACACGTGGGGGGCCCCTTCAGCCACTCCCACCTCTTCCCTTCCCCCACAGCCAGTACCTTCTCTCCCCAGTGGCCTCTCAGCCAACCCCAGCTGTCAACATCTGGCCCACATCTGTCTCCCCCTCCAGCCGTGCCCCCTCCCTTTCAGAGGGCTGCAGGGCAGGGCTATGGGCTCAAGGCCTCCCTCCCTCACAGCCCCCTGCCAGGGCTAAGAGGAACCAGGCAGGGGTGGGAGGGGGCAGCCCCACCCCGGAGATGCCCCAGGCTCTTGGCACAGCTAGCAGGAGCGGTTAGAAGCAGCTGCAGGTGACTCATCTCCCAAGGCCCCCACCCCACCATCTCAAACACACCCCGAGCTGGGAACGGAGTACTCAGGCCCCCACAGCTCTGCTGCCTGACCCAGACCCCACTGTCCTTGGAAATCTAGTCCATCCTGGCTGGCAATCACCCCCAGAACTGGGACATGTCCCATTTTCTTTTATTTATACAAAAAAAGTTTCTTTTTAAATATAATTTAAGGACCCCTCCAAGCACCAGCGTCTGTCTCTGGTTTCCACCACAGCCCCCCTTCCCCACACTTCCCTCACTGACACAGCTTGGGGGGATTTGGGGGGCAGGGAACCATCTGGGACTGTGGTGTGACCAAGGCACTGCTCTGGAAACAAGACACTTCGAAGGGTCCCTGTTTCAACCTTGGGCAAAGGAGGAGAGGAGAAACAGGTGCCCTCCAAAACAAAAAATAAGGACTGGGATGGCAGAAAAACAAAACAGAAAGAGGGGAGGGAGGGAATGAAGACCAAGAACAAAAAAATAAAACTCAAGAACCTTCAATATGAAGGCAGCAGATGGGGGAGGGGCATTTACAAGGAAGAATGATTGAGTTCGGTGGCAACAGCAGCAAGTCGGGGCATCAAAGATCAATGACTGTGTCATTGCATGACACCCCTTCCTGCCTCCTGGGACAGCGCTCCACTCCCAGCTGGCAGGCTGGTCACCCTCTCTTTGGTCTGCAAGAACATGCCCATGGAGGTGAGGGAGCACCTGGGGAGCCCTCTGGGGAAGCTGGGAGATTATGGGTGCTTCCTTTCCCTCTGGTCACACCCAGTTCTGAGGGAAAGGTGCCCTCACCCTGGGGTTTGGGGTTTCCCACCCCGAGGGGACGGGATGTGATATAGCACAAACCCTAAGTCCTGTCTCTCCAAATTGCCAACTCTCCACACCTATGGGTTCAAAGTGCAATCCAGTGGGGCCAGGGATGGGGGCCTCTGTGAGACCCCACCCGACTTTACCCCAGGAAAAAGGGGAGGCCATGCCCCTGGGGTGAGGAATTCCTGGAGGTCAATACTGAGGGGCTTGTCCTCCTGTCCCACCCGGAGCTCCAGGCTTGGCTTGGGACTTCATATGCTGGACACTGGCCAAGATTTTCTTCTGGTGTCCAGCCAGAGTGACTCCAATTCGGAGCAGATCCCTGTGGAATAATAGGACTAAGTGAGCCATAGGGCTGGGGGGGCACCCTTCTTGCTTAGTTCCAGGCCCCCCCGACCCTTTCTCGACTTTGGAATTGTCAGCCAATCAGGAAGGCCAGCGGGGCAGATGGGTGCGGGTCAGGGATGTGGGGGGGTGGCCTTGTGTGCAGCTGCAGTAGGTGGTGGGGCTGGGTCTCAGCTCGGTCTCTCCAAGGGGGGGGGCATCAGGGCGGAATTGCAGAAGCACAAAGTGGCAGAGGGAGAAAAGGCCCCACAAACTGCTTTAGAGGGGAAAGGAGAAGTGAGAATAAATAGGCCAGGAAGAGAGAAAGGAAGAACTGGGTGGAGGGGAAGGGGAAGCTCCTGGTTCCCGGACTCTGAGATAAGGGACAAAGGAGGGTGAGACTGGATAGGACCCCGAGACAGGAGAAGCTGTAGCAGGTTAGGGAGGTGAGACCCTGGCCCAGCAGGGCAGGTGGGCAAGGGACTGGCCTTGCCAGGGTTCCTCTGACTCCAGACTTCTATTGCTATTACTCAAACCTGGGTAAGTAGAGGCCTTGGGAAAGAAATGGGAAGGCAGAAAGGAGGAGTCCCAGGGGCCAACCCAGGGAGAAGAGTTGTTTGGGAGGCCGTGGAATCATAAAACCATTTAACATTAAAGCCGGGAAGGATCTCCAAAACCTTCTCCTTTTATGGGTGGGAAAAGAGAAGCAGAGTTGACACGTTAGGGTGAGAGTTGGGTCTGGAATGTAGATAGAAGCACAAAGATAAATACAAACTGGGAGCACAAGGGCTGACCCGGGCTGAGGCGGCTCCGGGAGATGAGTGGGGTGTGCTGATCCCCGAGGCCCCTGCGGGCAGCCCCGGTAGCTGTTACTACTTGGGGGGTTGTTCTAGGGACGCTCTGGAGTCCTTAGCTCTGCTCCACGGAGGGGATACTGGCCCTGAGGTTGACACCAAAGACCCCTGCTGAACCTAAGGGCCTGGCTCTGGCCCCCTCGCTCGCTGCCCCCGGGTGCCCTCTACTTTCCATCCCTTCCACTTACTCGGCGGAGATCTGGCTGACCAGCTCGAAAGAGCCAAACCCAGCTGCTGCAAAACTTTCTTCGTATCTCCCCATCTTGATGGCTCGAAGCCATTCTCCCACAGAGCCAAAAGCCGAGTAGTGAGGCTGCCGCTGATCCAGGAGAGGGTGCGAGGCACTGCAGAGGGGAGGGGGGGAATGCTGACCTCTGCTCTGGGGGGGGGGGATGGGGGAAGGAGGAGGGCTCTTCTTTAGGGTCCTCACCCGCCATTCTCCCTGGCCACGATTTTGAGGCTGGCAGGGTTCCGGATCATCTTGTCGAGGGCGCTGACCACCTGGGGGAAGCGGGGCCGGGCATTCCGATCCTTCTGCCAACAGTCCAGCATGAGCTGGTGGAGGGAGGTGGGGCAGTCTGGGGGCGGGGGCAGCCGATAGTCCTGCTCAATGGCATTGATCACCTGGGTGATGGGAAGAAACGCAGAGTGAGGCTGTCTCGCTGTCCCTGGAGAAGGGAGATGCCAAAGGGCATCCAGAAATGACAACATAGCCCATGCCAGGATGGGAGCTACAGCCCCCAGAATCACACATCTGGGAGTCCTTCTGGCTGTTCTTGAGGCTGGCTGTGGCTGTACACCCCAGAAGTTCTTGGGCTTTGATCTGGATGTGTAACCTCCAAATCCTGCCCTCCACACCTGTATCCCTCTGTGACCCAAATATGCTAGATCAGACTCTTCTGAGCAGATCACCTCTTCTTTGTGCCACGCCCCCCCAAACTGCCTGTAATGAGTCTGGAAACTTCCACCCCCACCCCATATTCCAGGTGAGAGAACACCCCAGAATGCTTGGTAGGACCCAGGGACACTTACGTCCTGATTGCTCATGTCCCAGTAGGGCCGTTCCCCAAAAGACATCACCTCCCACATCACAATCCCATAGCTCCAGGCGTCGCTGGCAGATGTGAACTTTCGGAAGGCAATGGCCTCAGGGGCCGTCCAACGGATGGGAATCTTTCCTCCCTGCAGGATGAGGAGGAAAAGATGGACTCAGGGACACCCAGGACCCAGGCACACAGTACCCGGCCCTCTGACTTTGCTCTTTTCCCCCTAGCTCAGGCCTTCTTTGTTTCTGGGACCTAAGTCCTCCCCTCCCCAACTCTGTTCTTTCCTTAAATATCCAAAAAGTGATTCTCCTTCAGTCTGAACACGTATCCTGTCCTGGTCCAGAGCTGCAATTCCTCAGCCTCCTACCTTTCCAACCTGCCCTCCCCACGTAGCCCTGGGAATCTGGTTCATCCCCTGGTCCCCAGACTCACCAGAGAGCTCGTATAGGTGGGATCAGAAGAGTTCTCCTCCAGGAATCGGGAAAGGCCAAAGTCAGAGACCTTGCAGACTAGGTTGCTGTTGACCAGGATGTTGCGGGCAGCCAGGTCTCGGTGGACATAGCTCATCTCAGCAAGGTACCGCATGCCAGAGGCAATGCCCCGCAACATGCCCACCAGCTGGATGACCGTAAACTGCCCGTCGTTCAGCTGAACATCCAACAGGAAAGAGGAGCTTGGTTAGGACCGCTCTGCCCACTCTTCTTCCTCCCTGTGTTTCCTAAACCCTATCAGTCATTTGCAGATCGGTCTCTCAACTCACCTGTAGGGAAGCCTACTAGCTTCCCCAATTGAGCCCTTCTCCTCTCTCACCTTTGCCTTCGCTTAGCTCTTACTATGACATCATCATACAATGCCTATCCTCCTTCCTGTTTCAAAGATCTGCATTCAGGTCTTTCTTGTTCAGACTATTAAGGAGATAAGCCAAGCACAGAGGAGCACACCTATAATGCCAGTGGCTCGGAAAGCCGAGGCAGGAGGATCATGAGTTCAAAGCCAGCCTCAGCAATTTAGCAAGTACCTAAGCAACTCAGTGAGACTGTCTCTAAATAAAATATAAAAAAGGATTGGAGGGGCTGGGGTTGTGGCTCAGTGGTGGAGGACTCACCTCGTATGTGTGAGGCCCTGGGTTCGATCCTCAGCACCACATAAAAATAAAAAATCATGTCCATATACAAAAAAAGGATTTTTTTTTAAAAAAAAGGATTGGGGATGTGACTCAGTGGTTTAGTGCCCCTGGGTTTAATCCTTGACACCAAAAAGAAAAAAAAAAAAAAGACAAGGAGATGATTTAATTTTTTTCTTCCATTTAACAGTACAGTGCTTTACACTCAGAAAATAACCAGTGCTTTTAATCTAACATGCTCCCTAGGTGACAGCCAGAGTCCGGACTGTTAGAAGTGTGCTCTAGGCTGCGTGTCTACCGGTAGAAATGTCTTCATCCTGATCCAGCCTCAAACTTCAGCACACTGTATGACTATGCAAGAGAACAGTGAGAAACTGGGGGCACACAGCACCAAAGCTGAGGTCTAAAGCCCAACCTTGACTTTTTCAGAGTCTACTCTCTGGCTGGGGATATGGTAGAATGAGCGTTTGCCTGGTATGCACAGGCCCTGGGTTCAGTCCCTGCCCTGCAAAAACCAGAAACAAAACTCTCCAGAGTGTCCATCAGGTAAACTGACCAGGCAGATGGGAATTAACTGATCCTGCCTTCTGGTTCTGCTGGGTTACAAGGGACCCTCTGTAGCCCTGCAGGTTCAGGGACCCAGAGGCCAAGAATCAAATTCTGAATTCATCCTCCAGTCCTGCACCCACCTGTCCTATGCTCCCCATCTCAGTTTATGAAAACGCCACTTGGCAGTGGTCAGGCAGGAGATCTCAAGAGTTTCCTGGGATTCCTCCAAGCTCACCTGCCACTTGCGATCCACAGGAATCTGCTGGCCCTGATGATTCCTAAATGTGTCCCCAGTCCAACCACTTTGCTCCACCCCTAAAGGGCTGCAGCAGTCTATTCACTGGCTGCTTGTGGTGGCACTGGCTCCCCAGCACCCTAAAGGGACCTCCTTCAGTCATCTCACTGTCCAGCCTAAATTCCTCCAAAGGCGTCTCCTCCCACCCCCATTGCAAGACCTACTACTACTCCTCTGCTCAACCTCACTAGCCTTTTTTTTTCTTTTTGTATCAGGGATTGAACCCAGGGGTGCTCAACCACTGAGCCACAACCCCACCCCTTTTTATATTTTATTTAGAGACAGGGTCTTGCTGAATTGCTGAGGCTGGCTTTGAACTTGTGATCTTCCTCCTCAGCTTCCCCAGCCGTTGAGATGACAGGCGTGTACCACCACACCCTGCTACTAGCCTGTTTGTTAAACATGCAGAGTTCCTTCCGGCCCATTGTGGGTGTCCACTCTCATCCGGCACCTCGTCCCCGTCTTCTCATGACTGGCTCTTTCTCGTCTACCCAAATGTAATCTCTTCTCCCTTCTACCTCCTCACCTCCCTGCAACACGACCTCTGTAGAGTCCCAACATCACATTACAGACTCCTTATGACCACAGGGAGGAGTAAGGCTGTCCTCTTGACACTCCAGGATCTGTCCCAGCAACACTTATATAGAGGGGGCCAAAGTGACTGTCCACCCATGGGACCCATGTGAAATACAGGGCAGCCATAAATGTTTTATTTCCAACTTATCAAAACATCAGAAAGAGCTTCGCTTACAGGAAATACAAGAGAAACGAGCTAAATGACCCCAGTAGGAGCTGGGTGCAGTGACACACATCTAGGATCCCAGTGACTCTGGAGGCTGAGGCAGGAGATCACAAGTTCAAGGTCAGCCTGGACAACTTAATAGGATCCTGTCTCAAAGTAAAAAATAAAAATGGCTGGGGGAAAAAAAAAAAGCTCAGTGGTAGAGCACCCCTGAGTTCAATCCCCAGGAAAGTAAAACCAAATAAATAAATAGCCCCACAAAGATGAAGCCATATATTCAGAAGGTGGGACATTCATGGGGACAAGAAGCCCAGGTCCCCAGCATGTCAGTGTCATGACAAGCTCAGGTGCAATGTCTGGTCCTGAATTGGATCCTGGATTTGAAATAACCAGCAATAAAGGACATTTTGGGAACAAGTGGGAAAATGTGAATATCAACTGGATGTTCATTAGATGGTACTAAAGAATCATTGTAATTCTGTGAAATGCACTGTCATTTTACTATGCAGAAAAACATTTTGATTTTTATTTATTTTTATCTATTTTTAAATATTTATTTTTCAGTTACAGGTGGACACAATGTCTTTATTTTACTTTATGTGGTGCTGAGGATCGAACCCAGTGCCTCACACATGCTAGGAGAGCACTTTACCTCTGAGCCATAACCCTAGCCCTGATTTATTTTTAAAAGACACCCAGTAAAGCTTAAAATTCAGCAGAAGTGACAAAAATATAAAATAAGTGCTTCCCGCCTCATCTCCCACCATCGTTCCAAGATCCCTCTGATTTTCTTTCTTTTTACACTGCAATGGTGTGTTTACTTATATGAAAAGCTCGTTTGTTTACTTGTTAACTGCCATGAGACTGTCTGCTCTCCAAGAGCAGAAAACCCAGCTGCTGTACTCAAGGCATTGTTCCCGGGGCCTGGGATAGGGGCCGGTGCATAGCAGGTGCTCAGTAAATATTTGTCAAAAGAGCCAGGCGCGGTGGCGCACGCCTGTAATCCCAGCAGCTAGGAAGGCTGAGGCAGGAGGGTGGCGAGTTCAAAGCAGCCTCAGCAACTTAATGAGGCACTAAGCAAGACGGTGTCTCTAAATAAAATACAAAAAGGGGCTAGAAATATGGCTCACTGGTTAAATGCTCAAGTTCAATCCCCAGTACCAAAAAATGTTTGTCAAAAGAATGACCGCTTCTCAGCTGGTCTTGCTCACTGCTCTTGTCCCCAGCCCCTACCTGTGTGGGATCAGCTGGCCCCACACAGGTCCAAGGAAAGACTAGTCTCAGGAACTTGAACTTTTCCTGAAGGAACAACCAAGCCAGAGCATGGCCGGAGGAGAGGGAGAGGGCTGGCGGCTGATCTGGGCTCTGCTGTGCTGGGCTCCAATCCCCACTGACCCCTGCTGTTTGGCTGCCCTGGGGGGGTACAGGGTGGGTGTGGGTAGCGAGTTGGGTGTCTTACCCGAAGGAAAGAGTCCAGGGCTCCGTTCTCCATGAACTCAGTGAGGATCATGACGGGCACGCTGTTGGTGACCACGCCCTCCAGGCGGATGATGTTGGGGTGCTCAAACTGGCCCATGATGGAGGCCTCGCTCAGGAACTCCCGCCGCTGCCGTTCGGTGTAGCCCCCCTTTAGGGTCTTGATGGCCACACAGCTCTCCTTCTTCCCAGGGGCCTTCAGTCGCCCCCGGCACACCTCACCAAACTCGCCTTCAAGGGGGACACCAAGAATTGACTCCCCTCCTGCCTGGGTGCAGCCCTGCCATCCCTCCTGCCCCCCCCCACGCCCACTCCCAGGTGCGCCCTCCTCTCACCTGCACCTATCACCTCCTCAATCTTCACATAGGAGACGTCGATCTCTTTGGCAAACTCCCTCACAGCCTCATTGGGGTCTTCATATGTGAAGGGGTCAATGTAGACCTTCGTACCTGAGGGGTCACACAGGGGACCCTGTTAGCCAAGAGTGACTGCCATGGGACTCGGGCACCCTGACTCGTGCTCACTGTTCAGGTCCCCAGCCCCGACCTCCCTTAGCAGAGGCCCACCTACCATGCCCGATGAGATACTGCCCGTGTTTGTCCGAGTATTCGGCCTCCCTCCCGTTGCTCTGCTTCCTGTAGCCAATGGGGAAAAAAAGGTAAACCGAGTCACATCTCTGCAGAAGGAGCAGGGATCAGAGAAGACTTCAAAGGAAAACAGCCCAATGGGGCAGACAGAAAGGCTGGCCCTGGAGCCCAAGGACGGGTGGCCATTCACCCAGGGCTTCCAGGGACCTCCAGGACCCTCCAGATACCCAAAACCCTTACCTGAGGCAGAGGACAGCAATGACAATGACCACCAGGACCAGGACCACACCAACGACCGCTGTGCCTGCTATCAGGGCCAGCTGCTCCCGCCAGCTCTCACTCTCTAGGGGAGGAGAGGCCCCAGTCAGTGGACTCCAAGGGCCCTGCAGCCCCAAGTCCCAGCCTCAAGCAATGAGCTGAGGTCTCCTGAGGACAGGCTCCAGCACAGGTGGGGAGAGAACAATGGGCTTCAAACTGCTTTCCATATCCCATGGGCTCCTCGGAAGTCCCCCAGGACAAGGCGGGACATTTTTCAACTTTATAACTGCCAGAGCGGTTTTAATTTGGTTTTGATCAGATTGGGATCCACAAAAAGTCTCACTTGAGTGAAAGATCGAAGATGAAAATTAAGATTTCTAACCAAAAAATGGAGACCCAAATATCCACCAATCAATGAACGAATAAAGAAAATGTGCTATATTCACAAATTTCATACAATGCTTTTGTTTCGGTGGTACTGGGAATTGAATCCAGGGGTGCTTTACCACTGAGCTACATCCACAGTGCCCCCTTTTTTTGGGGGGTACACGGGGGATGGAACTCAGGGGCACTCAACCACTGAGCCCCATCCCCAGCCCTATTTTGTATTTTATTTAGAGACAGGGTCTCACTGAGTTGCTTAGCACCTCGAAGTTACTGAGGCTGGCTTTGAACTTGCATTTCTCCTGTCTCAGCCTCCCAAGCCTCTGGGATTACAGGCTTGCGCCACCGCGCCTGGCCCACAGCCCTTTTTATTTTTTATTTTGAGACAGGGTCTCACTAATTTGGACAGACTGGCCTTCAACTTGCAATCCTCCTGCCTCAGCCTCCCCTCACCACCTCGCCCAGCTCATACAATGGATTACTAGGATTAAAATTCAGCTGCAAAGAGGATGGTCCCCTAGGTATTCGACTGTAATCCCAGTGATTCAAAAGGCCGAGGCAGGAGGATTGAAAGTTCAAGGCCAGCTTCAAAACTTAGTGAGACTTTGTCTTAAAGTAAAAGAAAGAAAACGAGGCTGGGGATGAGGCTCAGAGGTAGAGCGGCTCTGGATTCAACCCCTATTACCACAAAATATATAAAGAAATAAAACCAACACGTTACCTCATTTGATCCTCAAAGCCCCATGTAATAAAGGCTTCATGATTTTCCCATTTACTGGATGGGGAATCATGAGTGAAGGGCTGTTAAAGGTCACACGGCTGGTAAGCCACCAAGCCAACCTCACACCCAGATGTTGGTGTAGCTGGTTATGCCCTAGATGCTCCCTCTGCACTTGGCTGTGCCTCAAAGGTTGAAAGAGGAAAATGAGGCTGTGACCCAAGAGCATCATGGGACAGAGGCAGGCCTCCCCCTGCGGCAGGGGCAGCACCCCAACCCTGGTCCAGCTCCCCAGGCTCACCATCCAGCTGGGTCTGACTGTGATGTTCCTGGCCAAAGGGCCCATAGCCGGCCTCAGAGCGTGCCCGCACCTGGACAAGGTAGCTGGCTCCCCGCTTCAGCCCCCGAAGCTCAGCGCGGTTTTCTGAGGTCTTTAAAAACCGTACACTGCTTGGGCCCTCTGCACCCTGCTCAGGAGGAAGAGGCTGTAAGACAATCTCCAGCTGCCACCATTCTTCCTGCCCCACCCCCACCCCTGTGCCCATTGGCCCTGTGAGTGGCGGGACCACCCACTTAAGAGCTCACCCAACCTCTGTGCTGTGGCGTGTTTTGCACTCATTATGTCAACCTAACCCTTGCAGCAATTCTGTGATGCTGATACTGCTGTCACTAGTTCACAGATGAGAAAACTGAGGCTCAGAGAGGCCAAAGGGCTGGCCTAAGGTCATACAGCAAATGCCCACCCGATGCCTGCAATTCAGGTGGCACCGGCATGAATGCCAGATCCACAAATCACCACCACCACCAGGGCCAGAGCCTGGTCTTACCTTCTCATGGTACTTGACCTCGTAGTCCAGAACAGCCCCACTGGGCGCTCGCGGCACAGCCCATGCCAAGCTCAAACTGCTGGGTGATGACCGTGTCACACGGATGTCAGACACTGCAGGGGGCACTGTGAGAGACAAGCAGCCATGGGCCCCAGCTGCGAGGCAGACCTAGCCTTCATATTGCTCTGCAGGCTACACCTGATTCAGTCCTCAGGCTGTTTCAAGAACGTCTTTGGACCGCCTCTGCCCCTAGCCTTCTCCGGAGCCCGACCAGTCCTTAACTCTCCAGCCTCCCTTCTCCTCCATTTCTGGTCCCACAAGCCTTGGCCCTCCGCACCTCCCAGGGATCCCACTCCCACTCCCACTCCCGCCTCCTACCCCCGCCAAATCTCACCCTCCCGGTCGGTGGTGACGTTGACAGGCTCAAATGGGACAGGCCCTGTGGCTAAAGAGGACACGCCATTCAAGGCAGTGACCTCAAAAGTATAGGTGAAGTCAGGACGCAGCCCTCGAATAGCCACCCAGGGCTCCACCAGGTCCCGGGGGCCGGGGTCAAAGGTCAGGTCTCCCCCACAGGGCAGGCAGGACCCCCCTGGACGACACTCTCGGCAGCGAAGTGCATAGGTGAGGTCGTCCCGGCCGCCAGACTCGAGGGGCGCACTCCATTCCAGGTGCAGGGAGGAGCCATTCAGATGGGGAACCACACTTCTTGGAGCAGAAGGAGGGGCTGTAGGAAATCAGGGGGTCAGACAGAGAGGGGGAGGGCAGCCAGGGAACATGCAGACATGGAGAGGGCAAGGGGCCATGGGGAAGCTGGGAAGGATGAGGGCTGTGATGGGGTCCACCCCAGAAGTCCATACTCCCTCCCTGATAAATGGTACCGGGCTGATGGTCACTTACTGGTGCAGGGTGCGCCTTGGGGGTCCGCACGGGCCCGGTAGTACCCAATGCGGCACTGGCAGACAGAGGACCCGATGGTGTTAGAATGGCTATTGGCCGGACATGGCTGGCAGGACCCCTCTCCTGACTCGGGCTTGAAGGTGCCCTGGCCACAGGCTAAGAAGAAGAGGAGAGAGTGAGTGGGTTATCAAAAACATGACGGGCGCAGGCACTGTGGTGCACACCTGTGATCCCAGCAATCCAGGAGGGCAAGACAGGAGGATCAAAAGTTCAAAGGCAACTTCAGGAACTTAGGGAGACCCTGTCTCAAAATAGGAAATAAAAAAAGGACTGGGGCCAGGTGCTGCAGCATATGCCTGTAATCCTAGAGGCTCAGGAGGCTGAGGCAGGAGGAGTGTAAGTTCAAAGCCAGCCTCAGCAACTCAGCAAGGCACTTGCAACTCAGTAAGACCCTGTCTCTAAATAAAATACAAAATAGGGTTGGGGTGTGGCTCAGTGGTCGAGTGCCCCTGAGTTCAATCCCCACTACCAAAAAAAAAAAAAAAAAGTCCAGCTACTTCTAAGGTTGCATGTAATGCTAAGGTGGAATGGCAGACATGAGAAACCTCTCCTCTGCCAGAGAAACCGAAACCTCCTTTTGGAGAAGGAGTTGTAACCTTTTCTAACCCCGACCTTGGCAGCAGTCTAGTACAGCCCTCAGACCCCTGCTCGGAATAATGATGTGAAATATACAACACAAAACACACAGGATTACCAAGGAAACCAAGTAAGCTACAACACAATGATCAAAGGATTAAAGGAAACAAATTTGTGATGTAGCAACCAATGTATTTCTTGATTAGCAAGAAACAGGGGCAGGCTGGGCACGGTGGCACACACCTATAATCCCAGCAGCTTGGGAGGCTGAGGCAGGAGGATCATGAGTTCAAAGCCAGCCTCAGCAAAAGAGAGGTGCTAAGCAACTCAGTGAGACCCTGTTCCTAAATAAAATACAAAATAGGGCTGGGGAAGTGGCTCAGTGGTCAACTGCCCTTGAGTTCAATCCCTGGTCCAAAAAAAAAAAAATACAGGGCAGGTCTCAACCTCGTGACACTGAGGTCATGATGAGCAATGACAATATCTGAGATCCTGTGGCACCTGGAATGGGCTGTAAAACCTAAGAAGTAGATAATGCATCAGCCTCAAATCCTACTTCAAATACTGCAGCTCACATCCCGTAGGGCATGAGTGGCTAATTTTAGGTAAAAGCCGTGAAAATAAAGTCCTTTTTCCCCCTCCACCACAGTTCACAGGTGCCCTCCATTCTACCTACAAAGCCCAGGTTAGGAAGACCTGCCCTAGCCAGACACAGTAGCCAACTCAGGAGGCTGAGGCAGGAGGATCTCCTGAGCTCAGGAGTTCGGGGCCAGCCTGGGGAAAAGAGTGAGACCCCCATCTCAGAAAAGCAAACAGAGAAGCTCTGCTCGAAAGAAAGGACAAGTGAGAACTTACTGAGTCCAAGAAAACCCACAAGGAACCAGAATGGAAACTATATGTCCTGTCCTGAGCCCAACAAGGTGTCCCCCTAACTCAAGAACAATCTTCCAGGCCAGCTTCCAGAAAGCAACCAAAAGAAGATGAGTTGGACAGAGTAAGGGAGAAGTCTTGGAATCAAGAAGAGCTCAAAACTTAGCTGGAGGCTTTGAAAACTAAGTGGTCAGAGAGTAAAGAATGTGGAAAAGTTTAAGATTGGGGTGCAGGACCCTCTCGAAAGGCACAAGCAAGCTTCTAGTCCTCACCTCGGCACTTTGTGTTCCCCTCGGTGGCCTCGAACCCTGGGTTACAGTTGCAGCCGATGACCGGCTGCTCGGCCCACTGGCCATCCTCTCGACAGTAGAGGCTGGGGCTGGGGCCAGGGGCAGGGACAGCGTCTGCTACACAGCTCCCAGCCACAGGCACCACAAGCTCCCGAGGCACAGTCCCTGGGAAGTGGGTCAGGTTCACCGTCAGTGGGGGGCACTTCTTGTAAAAGAGGTGCAGTGACAGCAGGGCCATGCAGGCGCCCTGGTCCTGGAAGGCCAGGTAGAAGCCGGCCTTGCTGAGCGGGCCCAGACGCAGCGTCTTGACGTTCACCTTCCCAGTCGCCTCAGCCCCAGGGCGCTTCCTTGTGAGATGCTCCGCAGCCACTGTGTCCACCTGCAGGGTGGAGGGAGACTTACTGCCATTGTCCCCAGCTCCTCTGATTTTCTGGTAGACTGACTTCATCCCAGCTCCGCGTTCCTTGACCTCCTTGGTTCCTATTCTAGAACATTCCCTCTGCCTTCCCCAATATGAACATTCCTGCAGGTCCCAAAGCTGTCCATTCATCCTTGCTCAGTTCCTATGATGTGTCCAACCCCCCAAAACCCCCTTTCCAGTCATTCACATGTTCTACAAACATTTATGGACACACAGGCCATGCCAGAGCCTGACCCCAGCTAAGGAGACAGAAATGAATGAACCACAGTAGTGATAGGCACGTGCACAGACTGATATAGGACCCAGGGCAGGAAGAATCAATCGGTCCCAGTAGGATGAGTGGGACCTGAGTGCTGGAACTTAAAAAGACAAGTTGCTTCCGGAAACTAGCAAGTGCCCCTGCCAAAGGCCTTGGAAGCTCATCCATAGGGCTCGCTGCCCGGGCTGGGTACCTTGATGTAGGGGTTCTCCATCCAGGCCGGCGTGAGGGCTGTGGCTGTGTCTGCATCGCTCTCATAGTAGAAGACGGTGAAAGTCTCCTTGCAGGAGCGGCCAGCCCGCGGCAGAGACAGGCACTCGAGCATGGTGAAGCGCAGCGTGGCGTACACGTGCACAGCGCCACGACGAGGGACCCAGCCCGTCCGCAGCCAGTGAGCCAGGCCTGGGGCTCGCTGCAGGTCGCACACCTCATACGTGCGCACACTGTGCTGCTCCTCGTCCAGGCCGCTCAGCTCCTCCCACTGTGCGAAGAGCAAGAACTGGGCTCAGGGGTGTCCCTCCCAGGGTGAGGAGGGATGATGGACAGATGGTCGCAGGGGCTGAGGGAGCTACAAGCGGCTTGGAGGAACCCCAGTTCAACCTGCCTCCAGCTAGGGTTGGGGGTGGCATGGGAAGCAAGTGGCTTGGCGCTCCCCCTCCCTCAGTTTCCCTCCTGGGCCCCAGTTCCTAGTTCCAGCTCTTACCTGGCCCTCCACCTGAGGGAATGTCACCCACTTCAGATCGGCAGTTTCCAATTTTGTGTTCAGTAAAGTCTCTAAGAGAGACAGAGAGACCAAGTCAGCATTTGCAGTGTGGAGGTGGGGGACCCAAAGACCAGATAGATCTCTTAGGCAGGAGATTCTGTGTAGCTCCAAGCTGGAGTCAGGGGACAGGAGGAGGGGGCAAGCCATCCCCTTTGCTCCCCCTCTGACATCATGCCTCTGGTTTTAGTGCCAACTCCATCTGCGGCAGCTGGCAGTAACCATGCTGATCTCAGAACTGGAGGAAGAAGGGTTCTAATGCTTGAAGGGGAAAAGGTCCATGGCTCACAAAGTGTTAAGAGAACTCTGCTCTGGCACAGACCCCACGTGGGCAGGGGGGCTGCTGGCGCCCACCATGGTCCCTATAGAATAGCCTCAAGCTCCACTTCCCCTTGCCAAAGTCCCAGAGTTGGCCTCCTTGCCATCCCAACTCCACTCCTCTTCCAAGTCCCCACCCCCCTTTCACACCAAACACTCCAGCCCTTCCCTCCTTCAAGGTGGTGCTGTACCCCTGAAGCACAGCTGCCCCCCCCTGCACTTTACTGCCATCAGAAGAGGAAGTGCTGGAGGCCAGGACGCTTGGGTTCCCGCCCTGGCTCCTGCCAGAGTTCTCACATCTGGATTTGGTTACAGGAAGGAAAAGGGAGGAGATTTTAGGGGTGTGGGGTAGGGGTGAACACACCTGGTTGGGCCGGGCATCATGGAGGGGAGGGGGCAGGGCACTGGTGGAAGGAGGGGGATTAGGAGAAACTTGCAGCCTCTGGCAGCAGAGGGTAGAGGGAGGGTGGGGGAATCCCCACAGAGGCCAGGGCAACGTGGGGGGCAAGAGACTGGGGACCTGGGAGAAGCAGACAGAGCCTTCCCAGGGGAGCCAGCAACACACCTGGAACAGGGACCGCCCACCCCCATAGGGGTTGCAGGGGAGAAAGGGTGGGGCAGCCACTAGATGATGTCCAGTGGGCAGGGGGCAGGCAGGAACCTGACCAGCTCAAGGTGAGGCCCAAGGCCCTCATGGGTGGCAGGAGACAGCCCAGCATGTTGGGGACAGGATGCCCGGGTTCTGGGAAGCGGGTGGATAGAGGCTGCCGTCTCCACCCTCCATTGTTCCAGCGTGGATAGTGTTTTCCTGTCTCCAATTTACACACTGTCTCTGCTTCAGGGCTGTCCTAGGTGCTTGGAGAGCTGGCTCACTTTCTCTCCCATCTCAGACCTGCCGCCTCTAACTCTGATCAGTTAGTTCATTTGCCTCTCTTCTCTTTCCCCCACTCTCTGCTCACCTCCATTTCTCTGTCACTCTCTCCTTCCTCGGCTCTCTCCCACCTTACAACTCCCCTAACGGTATACCTCGGTGCTGGGCAAATTACTTAACATTTCTAAGCCTCAGTCTCCTCATCGGTACAATGGCGGCAATAGGACCTCCCTCTCCCAGGGTTGCAGAAAGTGAAGATAAAAGATAAGGTGTGTAAAGCAACTTCGCTCCTCATAGTCATGGGGCTTGGAAAGCACCAGGGTAACCGGCATGAGATTAGGCATTTCCTCTTTGCATCTCCCCACCATGCTTTGTCCTGAAGGTTTCTCAGCCCCCTTGGCCGCCTCTTCCCATGGCCCACAGTTCTTCTCTTCTGGTGTCTCTGAGCAGGACGTCTCTGCTCATTCCCTCCCATACTCAGCCTTTGATCCCCAGCCCAGAGCAGCACACTGCCCAGCCAGGGGAGAAGGGTTTTCCAACTGCCTTTGATTCCTCCCGTCAGCAGCCCCCCATGGCCCACTCCCCAGAGACCCTTTGATTCTCAGCAGTGAAAGGGAGGGGGCCTCACCAAAAGAAGATTAGGGATGCAAGAAGAGGGTTTAGAGGACTCCTGGCTGCCCCTCCAGAGGAGGGGGAGGAGGGGAGAGAGTCTCATGGACTTTGAAGAAATATTTGGACAGGAATACAGCAAAAAATTAGAAACCTGTTGTCTAGAGGCTTAGTAGCTGGGCTGAGTGAGGATGACTTAGGGCCATCTAGGGCAGCTTCTGCTAGCACTCAGAGGTGGAGGGAAGCCGAGGACTCAAGCAGAGAAGGGGGCCAGATAGCATTTGAACGGATGCGGGTACAACCTGGGGAAATGCAGGAGGGGGCCCCCTGGGTAAAGGCAGTGGCCTGGCAAGCCATTTGGGGGTCTGGAGTGTGACTCTGGAGAGTGTCCATAATGACGGGGTTGAGGAGTTGTAGGATCCAGGTGTGAAAGCTAAGGAATTGGCGGTGGGGGTCGTTTTATGGCCTAGCACATAGTTCTGCTGGTCTGCAGTTGTTCCTGCAGGATCGTCCCTCCTTCATGTCTGGCCCGAGGTGGGAAGTGAGTTAGAAACTTTGGGGATAGTTTTGAAGACTGGGGCAGGGAGGAAGGGCAAAGCTGCCAGGGGCCTCTGGCGTTAGGGGTAGGAGTTTGGGGAGCCTGGGGTAGGGGAACGTCCGGGTCGGAGCTCGACTCCATCTCTTTCCCAAACAAAAGAAAACTCCACTCCCCGCCGGGCCGCCTCCTCCCCGCCCCCTCCCGCTCCAGCACTATTGGTCCGAAGCGTTTGGGGTCCGGGTGCCCCGGTAGGTACAGGGAGAGGTCAGCCCCTCCAATCCGAGGCCCAACTTTGGGGGCCCCAGAAATGGCGGGGTGCCCCGAAGGAAACTCACCTTCTAAAGCGGCGGTGAGCGAAGCCCAGCAGAGCAGCGCCCGGAGCTCCATGGCGCCGCCTCACTCGGGTTGGATCCGATCCGAGTTTGGGGGGCCCTAGCCCCCCCAGG